ACCTCTTGCTCCTATACCTTAAATACCCCCCCCCCTTCCCCCCCCCCCCCCCATGGTTTCACAAAATATGTCTTTTAATGTGGCCAATATACTTTCACTGTCTATTTTATTTATTTATTTATTCAGCAATTCTAGAACCTCTGTATCTAACAGAGATGTGCACAGAGATTAATTAGTTAGTGCACATTACTGTTAATATAACTGTTTTATACCACACAACATAATGACACCATATTAATTTGTACAACTTGGGTTACAGTCACAAACAAAAATATATCAACGGTTGCAACTTTCATTTACATTATTTTCATGCTGTCAACATTAAAGTGACTAGCTTATACAACTTGGATTTACACACACAATGACATCATGTCAACTTGTAAAACATTGGATTTGCATTCCCACAATATCATATTATAACTTATACAACTTTCATTTACACACACACAAAATGACATATGAAACTGAACAATTCTCATTTTAAATTGTTCTTTTAGTGTTGACAACTTCAAAGTGACTAGTCTGTATAACTTGCATTGTACAAACATAATGAGATCTTCACATATCTCATTAATAATTACACAACTTTCATTTACATGAGGGTTACATCGTTTTGTCAATATTAAAGCGACTAGCTTATACTTATACAACTTGGATTTACACATATAATGATATCATTTAAATTGTACAACTTGGATTTGCATGCACACAATTTCATATTATAACTTGTACAACTTTCATTTACACAAAAAAGAAAAAATAAATCATATGAACTTGGACAGTTCTCATCTTATATCATTCTTGCCAACTCCAAAGTGACTAGTCTGTATAACTTACATTACACAAACATAATGAAATCTCAACATTTTTCATTTTTAATTATACAACTTTCATTTACCCACAAGTAATGACACTACATAAAATTGGACAATTCTCATCTTAAATCATTCTTTTAGTGTTGCCAACTCCAAAGTGACTAGTCTGTACAACTTGCATTATACAAACATAATGAAATCTTAACATATCTCATAATAATTATACAACTTTCATTTACCCACAAGTAATGAAACTACATAAAATTGGATAATTCTTATCTTAAATCATTCTTTTAGTGTTGCCAACTCCAAAGTGACTAGTCTGTACAACTTGCATTATACAAACATATTAAATTCTTAACATATCTCATTATTAATTATGGAACTTTCATTTGCAACAGCATAACGAATATTTACATCTTTCACATTTACTTAAAAATAATGCAATATTCAAAACATTCAAAAAGGTGCCAGCTAACCAACTAGTATTAAATAAATATGTTAAAATTGTTTTGTTTACTTTCATTCACATTCAGTATAACTGATATTCACATGTCACATTTAATTCATCATAAGGAAACCTTCACAGATCTCATTATTAAAATAACTATATGACTTTCTTTACATTCAATACTTTACATTCAATATAACATTCACATTTTTCACATTTACTTCAATGTAACTGAACCTTCACAAATCTTTTTAACACAATTATTATATAACTTTCATTTACATTAGAAAAAGTGATATTAACATGTTTCACTTTCACAAAGAACTATAAATTCTAGATGTTTACATTTTACAAACTACAAATGTAACAATCCTCTCACCACATCACCAAATCACCACATTTTTCTGCAGTAAGCAATTTTTTTCAGGGGGGGGGGGGGGGGTGTAAGTCTCCCGATAAAGGCCAAAAAATGACACAATATAGTGAACACTTGAAGAAGACAATACAGCACAGACTTACACAATAACGATAGAGTGTGCATCTACAATCACAATATGGCACAGACTTTCACAATCACAATATACAGTGTGCATTTCTACAATCAAAACACATCACAGACTTCCACAATCATAACATGGCATACTTCCACAATATAGTGTGCTCTTAAATAATCACAAAACAGCATATAATTATTCCAAACCCAGAATGCAGCATAAACTACAATCACAATACAGTATATATTTCCATTATCACAACACAACATACTTTCACAATACAGTGTGCTCTTCAACAATCACAAAACAGCATTTATAATCCATAATCACAACACAGCATACACCACAATCACAACACAGCACATACTTTCACAATCATTTTACATTTCTACAATCAGAAAAAAAGAATAAACTTCTAAATTCACAATATAGCATAGATTTCTAAGTCATTCAGCAAGCAAACCCCGATCACAATACAGACTTCCACGATACATCAGACATCCACAATCATAACACACTACTCCATATTATTAAAGCTGACAAATCCACAATCACAATATGCCTTACAAAATATACAATCACAACCTAATACTTACAGCACTCTCATATTATTTAATACTATTATGAATTCTGCAGGTGTAACATAAAACAATTATTGTTACATTTACACAACCTCTGCAGTTTTCATAAGAATAATAACTGTTAACTTACATTTAAACAACCTCTGCAGTTTTCATAATAACTGTTAACTTACATTTACACAACCTCTGCAGTTTTCATAAAAAATAATAACTGTTAACTTACATTTACACAACCTCTGCAGTTTTCATAAAAAATAACAACTATTAACTTACATTTACACAACCTCTGCAGTTTTCATAAAAATAATAACTGTTAACTTACATTTACACAACCTCTGCAGTTTTCATAAAAATAATAACTCATACCTTATATATGATCAGTAAAGATAACAATAAGTTAATAAGCTCAGTACAGCCATAGATGTTCAGGAAGACTGAAGACAGAGCAACATACTAGAAGACAGATATGACATTTTATAACTGTTACAAAATATACAATCACAACCTAATACTTACAGCACTCTCATATTATTTAATACTATTATGAATTCTGCAGGTGTAACATAAAACAATTATTGTTACATTTACACAACCTCTGCAGTTTTCAGAAGAATAATAACTGTTAACTTACATTTACACAACCTCTGCAGTTTTCATAAGAATAATAACTGTTAACTTACATTTAAACAACCTCTGCAGTTTTCATAATAACTGTTAACTTACATTTACACAACCTCTGCAGTTTTCATAAAAAATAATAACTGTTAACTTACATTTACACAACCTCTGCAGTTTTCATAAAAAATAACAACTATTAACTTACATTTACACAACCTCTGCAGTTTTCATAAAAATAATAACTGTTAACTTACATTTACACAACCTCTGCAGTTTTCATAAAAATAATAACTCATACCTTATATATGATCAGTAAAGATAACAATAAGTTAATAAGCTCAGTACAGCCATAGATGTTCAGGAAGACTGAAGACAGAGCAACATACTAGAAGACAGATATGACATTTTATAATAACTGCTCATTCTTTAAAATGTCAGGGTTCACACCTTCTAGGCCGTGTGTGAAATTTCAGGCCTCAAATATTTTAGGCCATATGTGAAGTGTCAGGTTTAAAATACTCTAGGCCATGTGTGAACTGTCAGGTTTTACATATACCAGGCCTTGTGTAAAGTGTCAGGTTTCACATATTCTAGGCTTTGTGTGAAGCATCAGGTTTCACATATTCTAGGCCATATGTGAAGTGTCAGGTCTTACATATTCTAGGCAACACAGGACAGGCCGTGCAACCTGCCGCTGCATGAATGAAAAGGGAAGGAACTCTCATCGTGCAGGCGGGTTCGTTAGAATTACCGAAAAGATTTTTTTTTAAAAACACTCAACTGAGTCTCTGGGGCTGTGGATATATAGAAGACCAGGTCATGTTTCCCAGAAACAAAAACTATCAAAGAGGTTCTGGAGAGACTGGAAGTGAAAAGAGTTGCTGAAAGTATAAAAAAGAGAACTTAAATATTTAGGCTGCAACATTGAAAGACATAACACTCTTCTAAAAGCCATTCTGGAAGAAAAAGTTGAGGGCAAGAAAGCAAGAAGTAGATAATGATACAAGTGGGAAGACATCATCAAGAGATGGATGAACAACAGTCAAAAAGAGTGTATAATCAATAGTTGAGACAGAGCGCCTGAGATCCATTGCAGCCAACGTCACCGCGGAGACCGCGCCTGACTGAATGTAGTTGTTACTTTAAGCTCTAGACCAGTGGTTCTCAACCTTCCTAGTGCCGCGACCCTTTAATACAGTTCCTTATATTATTTTTTTCATCTCTTCGTCACAACTTCAATGAATATTTGTTTTGCGATGGTCTTTGGTGACCCCTGTGAAAGGGTCATTTGACCCCAAAAAAGAGTTGCGACCCATAGGTTGAGAACCGCTGCTCTAGACAGTGATTGCTTTATCTGTAGTACACAGGCCAAGGCAACACCAACACGAGAGAAAGAATTCATTTCTCATTTAATATCTTTTCATCTTCTTTTTCTTCTTCTTAGTGTTCACGAGGCGTACACTCTGGTACAAAGTTCTGGCTGTTCCTCCACTTCTAGATTTTGGTTTTGTTTCGGAACTTGAGTTGTGCACGGATGTTCATTTGACAGATATGGCTTATTTGTGTGCAGACTGTTGGTCACTCACCTGTCAGACAGATGCACTCTAACTCCGAAGGAAAGACCCCTAATTGGTCACTTTCAACAAGCTTGTTGGCAGTGGGAACACTGTGTCTGTTCCCCCTTACACAAACTGTTCCCCTGGCAACTTTTTAGTAACTCTTACATTCATGAAACTGAATAGCAGAATCAGTAAATATGCATCATCCCCTTTCTCTCTCTTACATACAGGCATAAAGGAACTCCTAATATGTCTCATACACATACAAAAAGAGAGGGAAAGATCATTATTTTCCCCACCCCTGCTATTAGATAAATATTGTCCAAATACCTTAGTTATCCTTCAGAACACCTTCAGCAACATCACCAGCCTATACTCAAATCCTGCCAACACACACACATCAATGAAACCTCAAGCCTTCCAAGCCAAGCCATGCTGTCTGTCCCTATGTCAGCCTCAACACAAATAACCTGCCAGTTGTCTTACAGCAGTGGTGGCAGACCTGCCTTCTCCCTGCACTTCTGAATAGTGGCTCGAAGCATAAACTGCTTTCTAGAAAGCTCTCTCACTCTCTGGAAACAATAATAACAATTCAAAATTAGTATTTAAAAAATCAAAAGTCAGTAGTTACTTCCATCGCCTCATCCCACTCCCCTTCTTTAATCTATTTCACTGGAAACATAATCAGTTACAATTCAGTAAAAACTATATATATATATATATATATATATATATATATATATATATATATATATATATATATATATATATATATATATATATATATATATATATATATATATATATATATATATTTTTTTTTTTTTTTTAAAACAACTTACTGGGAAAGCTAAGCCAGGCAACAAATGATTTGTAGAGTTCAGATGTGTCCCTTAAAAGGTGCAAATATCATAGCCATGCTGTAAATGGGCACCATGCAATTACACCCTTAATGGATGCAGAAGAGGACAACTACAACTTTCACACAGTAACTGCCCAGTTTAGTTTCCATGACTTCACCATATTCCCCTTCAGATTTCATTTTTTTTTCTGAAAACATTATTAGGTACAATTCTGCATTGGCAACTTGTCCATCTTTCCAAATGATATTTATACTGTGCTAAAGAGAGGCATGGGTATTGTGCTAAAGAGAGGCATGGGTATTGTGCTGAAGAGAGGCATGGGAATTGTGCTGAAGAGAGGCATGGGGATTGTGCTAAAGAGAGGCATGGGAATTGTTCTAAAGAGAGGCATGGGGATTGTGCTAAAGAGAGGCATGGGGACTGTGCTAAAGAGAGGCATGGAGATCACAGCCCATGGCGATGTTTCCAAGACCAATTAAGAGGGGGATGGAGTTCTTCCTCTCCACAGCACACAGCCTGGGCAATACTGTAAAGACCACGTATTGCTCCATGCAGCAAGATTCCTCCTTCAGCCTATTTTGTTTCTTCTTCTGCCTTTCTAACCCCAAATGGAGCATAGGCCCCCAACCAGCTCACGCCAAGTCGTTCTATCCTTCCCTATCCAATGCAGCTCTCTCCATGTCCTCCCCATCTTTTTAACTTCACTCTCTAGCTCCCTCCTCCATGTGTTTTTTGGTCTTCCTTTATTTCTAGGCCCCTGTGGGTTCCAGTGCAAAGACATTCTAGTTATACTGTTCTTAGGTTTTCTCAACATGTGTCCTATCCAACACCAGCATCTTTTCTTCATCTCTTGGTCCCTTCGAACTTGTTTAGCTCTCTCCTAAAGTTCTACATTAGTGATTCTATCAGACCGTTTAATTCCCTTTATTCTGCACAGGCAGCAGTAACATATGTTGGTAGCTTATTAGTAATTGCCTTAGCATGTTCTCCATGTTTCTGCCCCATACAACAGTAGTGATTTGACATTAAAATAAAAAATTTTATGTTTAGTATTAGTTTTAATTTCTTTTGACCTGCACTAATTCCCTAGTGTTATGAAGGCTCTTCTTGTCTTTTGTATTTGTATATTAATATCTCTATCAGTTCCTATCAGAAAAAAACAACACTCAAAACTTGTAAACTTCCTGCAGTATTTACCCTTTGTCCCCCTTCCCCCAACTTAAACCTTACCACACTTCTCTTTGTTCTCTCTCCCTCCGGACAAATTGTTAGCCACAATTCAATAGTCTTAAAAAGTAAACCTGGGAAGTAAAGTTAGCTGGCATAATGTTGAACATGTCATCCATCAAGTGACGACTGGTCAATAAACATGTACATCTAGCACCACATGCCTGACACGTAAACAGAAAGGATATAAACTATTTCTCTTAAATCTCAACAAGGATATAAACTATTTCTCTTACATCTCAACAACCACAACAGTTACCTTCAGAAATGACTCCAGTTCTATTACATTCTTTCTCAATGCCTCTCCCAGATAGTAAATAGCATCCTCAATGGCTTGCTCTTCGGCAAAGGCATCAACCAACCTGACAACAGTCAGAAAATAAGTAATTATAACTCTACGGGGAAGAGAGCACAACAGGAGGCTTCTGATCATCCTAACAGGTTCCCCTTTGACAAATGTTTTAGCTTTTTTACCTTCTTGACTTTATTTTTAAAACAGTCAGGCTGGGTCCAAAGAAAGTGGTTGGTGTCTCTGAGGCGGTCAGAGCTGACGAAGATCAATTTTATTTTCACGCAAGCATGCAAGGAAATCAGCAAGCTGATAAGCTTGCAGATAAGGTTACTGTAAACGACGGACGTGCCATGGTACTAAATGCTTTATAAGAAGTAAGACATTTGGGAGAACCAAGTTACTGCAAATCTGCAACCATGACCAGACTGCAGGAACAGCAAGTTGAAAGGGGTGAGGCCAGACAAAAGTACTATGTAGGAAGCCAAAGAAGAAGAAGAATAAACCAACACAGAGCTGGTGTCATCAGCTGCTACATGCTGCAGGATTTACTGAGAAGCTGATCCAAGCACTTATGAACTGAATGGTTTAATATTAACTGAATGGTTTGATATGAACTAAATGGTTTGAAATGAATTGAATGGTTTGATATGAACTGAATGGTTTGATATGAACTGGATGGTTTGATATGAACTGGATGGTTTGATATGAACTGGATGGTTTGATATAAACGAAATGGTTTGATAAGAACTAAATGGTTTGATATGAATTGAATGGTTTAATATGAACTGGATGGTTTGATATGAACAAAATGGTTTTTGATAAGAACTAAATGGTTTGATATGAATTGAATGGTTTCATATGCAATGATGATAATCTGTCAGAACTAAGTAACTAACTATTTTAAAACAAAATGAATACATCAAGAACTAATAACTCTGCACTCAGTATATTCCCACACATGGTCCATCTTTTTTTTTAAAAGACCATGAAGAGATCCTCTACTAATGATACCAGTCAAAGCTTGACTTATTCTGCCTATTCATTCCCTGCATCTTCTCCTTCTTCTTCTTCCTCTTCACGTTCACCAGCTGTAAACTGTGCTGGACAGTTCTGATTGTTTGTCCACTTTTGGACTCTAGTCATGTTACAGAACCTGAATGTTGTGTACACACCTGTTTACAGATCTGACTCACTTGTATGCAGACTGTTGGTTCCTTGCCTCTGAAGCAGGTGCACTCAGACTTTGAAGGAAGCTCCCAATTAGTCGACTCTTATGACATGCTTGTTGGGTAGGTAGTGGGTCCAAAAATGGGTAATCAGCTGCATACCCAGTGTCATCAAGATTCCCCGCTAAATGAGACTTGATCAAGTAAAGATACTGTTCTGTTGCGCCACAACACTTTATCCCCAGAGAGCTAAAACATCATCCACTTCAATAAATATTTTCTCCAGGCTAAGCAGAAGTGCTGGAAAATGAACAGGCATTGCGAATGTCTGGTTCTGCACCACCTGGAGGTAACGTGAAGCATGACAAACTAGATGTTATCAAGATGCTTTAAGAGTGAGTGAACAGTGAGAAGACATAAACAGATCATCATTGTCTGAATAGAATGGTGCAGTGAAAAGTGGAAAGGGGACCGGGTCAACTCAAGGGAAAGGCATGGCGGCCACACAATCAGATTGCTACTGGTATCACCAAACCTGGAAATTCAGTTCTGCAAGCATGTCGCCTCCGAAGTCAGAGCACATCTGCTTAAGAAGCGAGGAACCAATAGTCCGTACATAAATGATATCAGGAAAAGATTTTAAAAAAAGAACAAAAAGTATATCAGCACGCTTCACAATACAACAAACACAAAAAAATGTATAATTTGCGGACAGATAAATGAGACCTGTAAAATGGATGCACAGGCAAAATTCAAATTCTAGACTAAAGTCCAGAAGTGGACAAACAATGAAAACTGTCAGTGAACACTAAGAAGAAAAAGAACTCAACAAAGCTCAACCCACTTTAGCATAAAAAATTCCTCACTATTCAGAAAAGTGAAAATCAGCCAATCTATCAACATGCTTGTGGCTCCCCACACTTGCATATTCAGAGCAGAATATCTATTCTATGTTCCTGACCTGGGACTTAACAGCACTGCATACAAACTTCATGCATATCTGAATCTGCATGATGATGATGAGTATAATGTGGTAAAAACATTACAGAGCTGAGCGTCCGAGAAGAAACAGACTAAACATAAATGTTGACAACAACGGTCCTGAAATCCCATGCTGTAATTGTGGAAGACTTCTTAAAACGGGCTGGTCTTTCTAGTCACACTTGCCATCGCCAAGTGCTGTGAGCCCCATGCCTCCTCATAGCACAACATAACACTATTTTCTGGAAAGATGAAAAGGTGCCAAACGTTCAGTCAAAATCGTTATAACAGAAGCTTTTATTCTCTGCTGAAAATGAAAAGAAAAAATTAAGTTTGACTCACTGTCTGTATAACGGGGCAATAGTGACAACAGCCTCATCAATCTTCAGATCCTGATGCTGTTCCATCTTCTGAACAGCCTCTCTGACTTCGCTGTCCTTCTTCCTGATTAAGTTTATGTTTTTTTCTATCTCCATCTGGGGGGGAAAAATCAATGTTATTATTGACACAACAGTGACTGTCCAGTTGTGAGATATTCAATGTTATTCTATTTATTTGCTTTTTACCTAACAATAGTTGTCCAATTAGAACATATTCAATGTTGTTAGTGACGCAATATCCGCTATATGCTTAGTGCAACAAACCCCGGCAAATATTTAAAGATCTAGTCTGAGAATGGAGGTGGAGGTAGATACAACAGTTTTCCACTGACTTGAGAGAACCAGCTGAACAAATGTCGTGATTGTAACAGACTCACAAAGCATGCTTACAATGAAGGAGAAAGGCATGATCAGAAAGATGGAGAAAGGCCTGCTCTGTGCAGAGTGGCAAGCATTGCTTCAGTGGTCTCTGCTGGTGAACATCCTTTGGATCTTTTCTTCTGGCATATGAGCGTACTGGGAAAGAACAGGCAGACAGACTGGCTAATGTTGCACCACTTGGTGGTGAATTGATGCACAGATCATTACAGTGTGGAGAGAACGATGTAGCAGGGAGTGACTAGGGGATCTGGCCTATGCTCTACATTCACATGAAAGGCCAGAAAGATGTATAATCAAACCGCTGCTGGTGCTATTAGCATTGCAGTCTGAAGATGATGACGGAGCACTCATGTGAATCTCACAACGTTGTGATGTCAGTCCTTTAGTCGACTCAACTCTGCTACAACTATCAAAGATGTTATGAGTCTCATAACACATTTTCAAGATGAGGTAATGCAGGATAAACAAGGCTTACATAGAAAAATTATCACACTAACCTTCTCTTTGTCTAAATCTGAAATGATTTTGTCCAACTTCTGTTTTCCATCATTCAAATCTCTCTGTGTCTTACAAAGTACGTCCATTTCTGCCTGAAAATCATGAAAAAACAAAGGGCACAAATGACAAAATGCTACTCAGAACTGACATCACTACATAAGCCAGCCAACTAGCCAAATTCCTAATCTACGACCCACAGACACTAATCCATTAGATGACCCACTTAACAAGCCAGGCAACTCACCACCCATTCATCCGCCCAACCAACATACCAAATTCCACATGTGGGTTCTGGGACCCCATTGAAGGGAAAACAAGAACAGACCCACTGCCTACCCAACAAGCAAGTCATAAGGGTCGACTAATCAGGTGATTCCTTCAAAGTCAGAGTGCATCTGCCTGAGAGGCAAGGAACTAGCAGTCTGCATACAAGTAAGACAAATCTGTAAAATGGATGTGCATGCAACACTTAGGTTTTGGAAGAAGACTAATATCTAGAGATGGTGAACAACCATAACTTTTCACCAGAGTTTACAGCTGCTGAATGCGAAGAAGAAGAAGATACCACACAAACCAACCCACATACCAGACCAAACATACACCCATCCATTCAACTAAACATGGACTCACCTAATCACACACATATAACTACATTACCAACTACACACATATAACTACCTAACCAACCACACACACACACACAAACCTACTAGCCTGTCTAACCAACCACACACACCTACCCAGCTGCCTAACTAACCACACACACCTACCCACTTGCCTAATCAACTACACACATCTATCCACCTATCTAATCAACCACACATATACCCAACCAACCACACAGACACCCAATTCAATAACACTTGTACTCACCTAACCACACACAGACACCCCTACCAACCCACATAACCAACAAAGCCATCAAATAAACTGAACCTGCAGATATCTAACATACCTGCGCCTGTGCAAAGGTTTCCTTCAGTCTCCACTTGATCTTATCCTCTACAGCAGAAAGCAGAGATGCCCTCAGGTCAGCTTCTGTGACAGTACCACCTGGAGTAAATTGAGGTTTGGCACCTAGCAAACCAAAACAGATAATACATTTTTTTTAAATTACTCCTTTCCACTTCCCACCTGCACAGTCTGTGATGACATCATAGCTATGGGGCCTTTAATTCTCAGGCTTACATAACCCCCTTCCCCTCCCACAGGACAAAAGTGCTAAATATGGGTGTCTGCAGTTACAATCCTTTCCACTGAAATTTTCTGGAAAATTTCACTTTATCTAATCAGCTGTATTACCAGGTATTTTATTTTCAACAGAAAGTTCCGGTACTCACTACAGTGTCTAAAAATAAAAGGTGCCAGTATTTACCACAAAGTGTCTATTACGTAGCACAGAAAAGCTGATCCCTCTAAAAACTGGTGCCAGTACTGTCTACCTTTGCGTACCACTGGTGGGGGAGGGGGGCACAATGCATTACTACATAGTTACATCAACACATTTAAAAAAAAAAAAAAATTAAAGGACCCTTTTCCACACCTTTAGGTGTATAGGGCATATAGGGCTAGACGTATATTTTTATAGACCAATCGGCACAAGATGGGTGATGTGGTCAGCATCACGCCTGCCACCTTTACTTCCCGGGACTGCACCCGGTACCCACTCAAGGCTGGGTTGACCTGGGAGCCAAGGTCATTTTTTAAAAAGTCAGGCTCCGCCAGGGAGCGAACCCACAACTTTTCGATCCACGGAGAGCATCTAGCCGCAACTCTCTACATCAACATATAATGAAGCACACACACACACACACAAAATCTTTCGACTGAGCTACAGAATATCAATTAATAATTTATTGCCTGGCTTATTTTGCTGTATCTCATCAGATGCATTACAACAGAGTTATATCACCTTCTTCTTCTTCTCATTCACCAGCTGTGAATTCCAGCAAAAGGTCCTGGTAGTTCATCCATTTTGACTTTTAGCTTTTACCTATACCTGAGTTTTGCTTGTACATCCGTTTTACGGCTTTTTTGTTTGCCGTTCCCTGCCTCACTGGCAGATGTATTCTGACTCTTCACCACATAATGAAAAATAAGAAAATGAAATATTCCACCGAAACATAGAAATCACAATTCATTTTCTGCCACATTTAGAAATAAATGCTTAATTCAACATTCAACTTAAAACGTGACTTCACATTTCACAATGTTGTCCACATATTAACTTGACTTCAAATTCACAATTATGACCAAATGCTAAACTCATCTTCTATTTCACAATTACAGTGGACCACATTGTGTCTCATTTAGACAATTATTTTTTTCCTTCATTAAATTTCCTCACAAAGTTAAAACTGTCAGTGACAGTGGTGTAAAGAAGCCTAAGAGTGTTTCAGTAGAAAGGAAGAATGAAATAATTAAAAACATGAGAACGGTGTTTGTATTTCTGATCTCGTCATCCATGGCTAAATCTACGATCTGTACCATCTTACAGAACACAACTGCGATAAAGATGCCTGATGTGACTAAACGAATGACTATGTTATGTAAACAAATGTCTCAAGTGGTAGAAGTTAACAAAAGTAGAAAAAATTATTGCTAGCCACCAAGCCAGCAATGGAACAACTACCCAGGTTACAAACAAGAGAAGAAAAAATATAGACATTACTATGAAATGGAGCTCGCCTTTGAAGGAGAAGTCTTCATCTGCCTCTACTATCTACTTCTGCCAGCAACCACAAAGGGTAAAGTTATGCTGTATATTTCACATATATTTTTGTCCCAAACAAATCCATAAACTAGTAAAAAGCAATATTTTTCTGGGGCGGGTGAACAGAATTATTGGATTTGCATAAGATTTCAATGGAAACAAATTTTTCAGGCTCCTAAGAATTTCGGTTCAGGAACGTAGTCAAAGAACGAATTAAGTTTATGACCCGATGTACCACTGTATTTCCACATGTTAAATTTCTAATTCACAATTTTTTTCCACATACTTGACTTCTATTTTCCAATCATGTCACTATACCTGATTTCTATTTCACAATTATCTCCACATACTTGACTTCTATTCCACAACCACGTCCCCAAACCTGATTTCTATTTCACAGATATCTCCACACACTTGACTTCTATTTCACAATAATATCCTTATACCTGATTTCTATTTCACAATTACGTCCCCATACCTGATTTCTATTTCACAGTTATCTCCACACACTTGACTTCTATTTCACAATAATATCCTTAAACCTGATTTCTATTTCACAGTTATCTCCACACACTTGACTTCTATTTCACAATAATATCCTTATGCCTGATTTCTATTTCACAGTTATCTCCACACACTTGACTTCTATTTCACAGTTATCTCCATACACTTGATTTCTACTTCACAATCACCTCCAAATATTTTAACTTGACCTCTATTCCACAATTACAACCACTTACCAATGCTGTTAACTGCAGGATAAGCAGTGTGGCTGTTGAACTGCGAAGAAGGATAACCTGTTAAAGCATCTGTGTAGGCAGGAGACTGCTGTGGGCCTGGGTAAGGTGGGACAGTTGTGCTGGCTGGGTACTGAGGTGGAAAGCCACTATTCTGACTGGATGGTGGATATCCGGGATATGGTGCACTACTCTGATTTAGATAACCAGCCATTTGTGGATAAGGTGGATAGCCTGCACCCGGATATCCTGCACCAGGAATACCACCGGATGGTGGGTAGGGTAAACCAGGCATTGGCATCCCTGGAAAAGATCATGTTAATATTGAAACTCTTTATTGTAAATGCGCTCAATATATAACTTACAAACATTTCTTCATCTTCAGTGATCATCTATTGCTATGCATCTGCAAATATGCACCAAAGCTAACTCTACAGCATTTCTTACAAGACTGCCCAGACTTTACCTGTTAAAGAGAGAAACTCTGGCCTTGTGAAATATCCCTAATGGAACAAAGGTTAAGATCTCAACAGCACTATTCTATTTATGATCCCTGTTGAAATACACACATCCTAAATACTGACTGCTAAAAAAAAAGAAGAAGACAATGACAAAGAAGAAGAAGAAGAAGAAAAAGAAAAAAGCATAAGAAGAAGACAACAAGGACGGCAGCGACAACAACGAAGAGGAGGAGAAGGGAGGAGGAGAAGAAGACAAAAATAACAAATATTCTATTAAGTTCAAAAAATTAAGTTCAAAATTGTAAATGCCTCTCAAACTGGGACACGAAAAAACCTGAATGATAAAACAGGTTGAGAATGTCATCATTTCTCTCTGTGACATAAAAAAACATGTAATACAGTTAACTAAAAAAAGAAAAAAAACCCATCCACAGAAGAATCTGGTACAAAATGAGTTAACGTAACTAAACCCTGCAACGGGTTAAATGCCATCATGATAATAGCTTTTATTTCTTTAGTTTTTATCTATATAACTCATTTTATCAGAATCTGCTGGTTTAAATACATGCAACCTTGCCACTACAGAACATCAAATGTAGATCCACTGTGTTGGTAGCCAACTGCAGTAACTTCTAACAGAAGTGCAGCAACTATTTCCCGACAAAAGCTATAAACCACAGACAGAATTATAACATGAATTCTGTTTGAACTTGATGCTGCTGTGGTTATATTCTCTGTATCTATGTGTGTTGGTCTGCTCTAACTCTGTTATATTCTCCATGTCTTTGTCGGTCTGCCTTTATCGCTGTTATATTCTCCATGTCTATGTGTGCTGATCGCCTCAACACTGTTATATTTTACAAGACTTTGTGTGTTGGTCTGCCTTGTAATCACTCTTATATTCTCCATGTCTTTGTGTGTTGATCTACCTTAATCATTGTTATATTTTCCATGTCTTTGTGTGTCTTTCTGCCTTAATCCTTGATGTAGTCTCCATGTCTTTGTGTGTCGGTCTACATTAATTCTTGATATATTCTCCATGTCTTTGTGTGTCGGTCTACATCAATTCTTGATATATTCTCCATGTCTTTGTGTGTCGGTCTACATTAATTCTTGATATGTTCTCCATGTCCTTGTGTGGTTGTCTGCCTTACCCTGGTATATACTCCATGTCTCAGGGTGTTGAGTCTATCTTAATCCCCGCTATATTTTCCATGACCCTGTGTGTTGGACTGTCTTAATCTTTTTGTTCCTGTGGGTTCAAGTGCAAGTACATTATTGGGTATATTTTTCAGTCATTTCACTGTCAAGCAAGGTATTTTTGAACTTACCAGGTGGTAATGGTGGTGGACCAGGGTAAGACACACTCTGTGGCCTTTGTCCAGATGTCCTTGAGAATACAGGACACTCTTCCCCAAAGGAAAAGGCCAGGATCTGCACTAGACTTAGAAGATCTGAGGTTGGCTTAAAAAAAAAAAATAAGAAACAAACATTAATAAACAAGTGTTTAAAGAAGCAAAATAGTTTGTGTTTATCCCCAACATGTGCCATGTCGGTAAATGTAGACTGTCTTATTTCACCATCTTACACGATTGTTAGAATCATGGATCGGCTCAAAGCTTTTGTCTCAGCCCAACCATGCTACCAAAGCATTCAGGTTTGATCTCTTTGCCTTCTTCTTGTTCCCTTTCTATTAACATTGCCAGCTTTTACCAACTTCTCAAGTACAAGAGCTGTCAGGTTTGGTAGTCAGTGGGTTAAAGAAATGGAATAACACACACACTTAGGCTGAAAATGAAGAATGAAGTTGGGGTGAGGGAAGGGAAGTCAGAGATACCAAACTAAGAAAACAAAAAGCAAAAAGAAGCTTTTATAGAAATATGAACAAATTTTACACTCTTATGTAGGGGACCTTGGTTCAAATACTCAGTAAGGCGATGGGTGTATTTTCTGTCGGCAGCAAAATAACAGTTATAACATGTACAGTTCATAGTCATATGTCCTAAATCCTCAGGATCAAGACTCTCTTGTTGCATTGATAATTAAAAAATTAAAAGAAAAAAAAAACTGTAAAAACAGGCAGTAAAGGCAGCTGGAAAACTTTATTAAAATCTCATAATTAGTCTTACTGACATCAAAAGTTATCTAATGCATTTTACATTTCCAGGCCCAGGATCAGAGTGACCTCCCTTGCCATTCATAAATTGTCGTGTCACAGGGCTTGTCCTATGTTGCCAGGGTGTCATGCTCAGTGACCGGCTACCAGCAGGAAGCATTCTACTAGTTGTTGTCACTGACCGGTGATATCACTTGTTGTATATTCCAGGATGTGAGCGCTTTCAAATAAGCAGAACTTGCTCTAAACCCAAGCCAAGCCACCCCCCCCCCCCCCCCCCCCCACAAGTCTCACGAGAGAGTGCACCCTACATCTCACGAGAAAGTGCAGCCTTTGTCGCACAACAGTATGCAGTGTATATTATAGGCTGCATGCAATCGTCTATGGAAGTTTCCGTGGCCGAGCAGCTAGACGCTCGTCGCGGATCGTAAGGTTGTGGGTTCGCTCCCTGGCGGAGCCAGGTCGACCCAGCCTTGAGTGGGTACCGGGAAAGTAAAGGCGGCCAGCGTGATGCTCACCACATCACCCACCTTGTGCCGATTGGTCTATAAAAATATAGGTTTAGCCCTATATGCCCTATACGCCTAAACTTTACTTTTTTTTTACTCCTTATGCAATCGTCGGACGTGGGCTGCACTCTCTTGTGGGACGTGGGGGGTGGGGTTGGGGTTAGAGCCAGTTCTGCATGTTTTGGAATCGATGACCAGTGACAAAGCACGGCAATTTATGAATGGCAAGGAAAGTCACTCTCATCGTGGGTGGGAAAAAGTAAAATGGCCGGGACCAGTTATCATTATATAGAACAAGGCTTTACTGACACAGATAAAAATAGCAATACCTACATGTCTCCATTCTCGAATGAAAGGCATATCCACTTTCCCATTGGCATCCACATAACGGCCAGGTTTGATCTGCATGGTATTGGTTGGCTTCACAAATACCATGGGTGGGTTATAAGGGTGGGTATCAAGCACCCATATTGATATTGGGATGTTGTAGGTATTTCCTGCGGGGAAATAGTGCAGAAATTTTTTTTTTTTTTTTTAAACCAGATATTTAAATGTAACATAAAGTCCTAGATAATATATACATAACAAACTGTTTAAGTGAAATAAATGCACTATTGTGTACTTTTAACACTGACAAACATTAATTGGGATTAATTCAAAACAGGTAAAAAATTATGAGAAAGAGAAGATGGCAATATATTAGGCTTATCATAACGAGAAACAAACAGACAGTCACTAAGATGGCCACACACACACAAATTGGGAGGGGGGACAAATGGACTGGAGAAATGAGGACGTCCAACAGACTTCCTAAGACAAACATTGTTGAGGCCAAACACCTAAGGAAGGCGTGACTTTAAATTAGTGGTCTCCAACCTGGGTGGTGTGAGGAAGTTTTAAGGATTTAGGGAAAAAGAGGGGGGGGGGGGGGGGGGGGGGGGGGGGGGTCACACAATTTTTACATTGAGTGTAATTGTATTAGTGTTAATCTGTCATTTAATTTTTCAATTTAATTATAAATAAAATATTTGAAAATAAAAAGCCAAGGCTATTTTGTTTGTTTTCATTAACTGTTTGTTTATCTACACAAATGTAATTAATATTATAACACAGGCATTTAATTATAGATTAAGAACACATTCTGACCAAAACCTATCTCCATACTGTCTGTTTCCCTTGTTGCTGAATCTATTGTCCTCATATTTTTGATAACATTTTCTTATGGTGGAGGGTCCTTGCCATCTACCCAAAGGGGAGGAGGGGGGGGGGGGGGGGGTCCATCACCCTACACTCAAGGAATTGGGGGGGGGCGGCCCGCACAGAAGAAATATTCTGCCTAACTAAATATTCTATATAACTGTTATTAAATGTCTCCAATTAGTTGTCCGTGTAGTCCTCATAACAACAAAATGTGACCCAATTGGCCCTCGGCAGCACCCTCAGTTTGACACACCTGGTTAACATGGCTATAAATGACCTTTTTAAAACAATCAGGCACATCAGCAAATAGTGCTAGACCCACAAGACCCACATTTTTCAGACCAATCAGCACTCAATGAGCGATGCAGTCAATATCATGCCAGACATCTTTACTTAATAGGATATTATCTGGTACCCATTTTAGGCTGAGTTGACCAGAAAGGCAAAGTCATGGAAATAAACAAATTCTTGCTTAACTGGTGATTTGAACCCAAGACCTTTAGGCTGGCAGGTCCACATATAGCCACTGCATAACCTCTATTCTCCCTAAATGGCTACTGACGCTGGCATGTTTCGTTTAAAAATGGCGACACAGATTATGGGTTCACTGATTGAAGCCATCCACTGGGAAATGACATCAACACCAAGTAGATAACATACATGGACTATAATGATGAGTTTAACAAATATTTTTTTTACAAAAATACCTTTGTAGTACACAGGGATCGTGCCTTCAAGCTTAACAAGCTGGCGATGTGTTCCATCATTGAAAACTGAAAGGGGAAAATAACATTTGCTTAACTCTTTCAGAAAACAACAACTCTACATACATGCATTAGCTTCTCTATGCTTGATACACATTTCATAACTGTGCCTGTTAGTTTAATCCATATAGTGTTACTTTAACTACTTATATCCGTCTCTTTTTCGTCTGCAATCATCCGAGGACATGTTTCATGCTTTTTTACAGCCTGGTTACGATATCTGCACTTTTTAGCCAACATTTTGTATTCAGGTATTTGTTGCCTGGATTAGCCTTCCAGGTCTAGTATCTCAGATCTTTATTATTTTAATAGCATAAGATCCAAAGATTGTCACTCTAATGAACAACAGTCAAGTGTAATTTACAAGTGTTACTCTAATTTACAAGTGTCACTCTAATTTACAAGTGTCACTCCAAAGTTAAATTAATACAATTTAGGATCATTCTCATATTTTAAAAAAAAAAAAAGGTAATTGTCTATATCTCATTTCTCTAATGAGTTTAACTTTTTCAAGAGGAATACTTGTTTTTATATTTTCCATTATATTCTTTACACTCTTCTTAAATAAAAAAAACATCTCTGCTGTGAGTAAATGTTTTTCAACTTGGTATACTGTCCATGTTTCGTATTCTTTACAGCATTATACCAATTTTTTTTTTCACAGCAATACGATTCTTCTTTACTAATAAAAAAAAAAGAAGAAGTTAGTAGTGTATCCTTTACAGGACACTGCAGAACCAATCTCCAGCATTTACTGGCAGTTTTGGTTTTACTAGACAATTTTACATTCAGTGGTGGTCAACCCTCAAAATCACTGACAAAATCGGCAGTCTGCTGCTAAGTCACCCACAGCTGGAGTTAAACGGGGTAACTAGGAAATTACGAAGCGCATTGGCAACGTCTAAGCCACAGACGGTGGTCTTTACAAACAATGAAAGAAAAATAAACACTTAATAACCGGCACTACTGATTTTTCAACAGAAACACAGCTACTTTACCAAATGGTTCAAGTGAAGGCCGCAAATCTCTGTACTGTGCCATTGTGTTTGCAATATCTGCTCTTGCTTCATTTGGATGTTTGTACTGAGGATAATCACATATTGTACAAGTGATGTTGTATAGAAATAATTTGAAAAAAAAAGTAAAAATATAATACTCTTTTTCACGCCTTTCAGGCATATTGGGTATATAGGGCCAGACCTATATGTTATAGACCAAACAGCACTTGTTGGGTGGTGTGGTCAGCATCTCGCCAGCTGCTTTTACTTCCCAGCACTGTACCTGGTACCCACTCAAGGTTGTGTTGACCTGGGAGCCAAGGTCATTTTTGAAAAAAACATTTGGCCCCTGTTAGGAACCGAACTGCGACCTTCCGATCTGCAGGCGAGCAATAGAATAATCTATATATATAAAAATCAATGTTTGTGTGTTTGTTTGGTCCCTATAGACTCGGAAACTACTGAACCGATTTAGCTGAAATTTTCAGGATATGTTTGTTTTGATACCGGATTTTGAACCATCGTGGTTTAAAATTCAACCTGTCACTGTTAGAGATAGGTGACCACAATTTATGCCAAAATATTCGCAACTAATATTTATAACTTTAGTGATTTCTAATTATAGCCACGTTAGTAATTGCGCATGCGCCATATTTACCATTCGCCGGCGAGTTACGTGCAGCCAACGCCTTCTCTAATACTAATACATAGAGTAGGTCGTGGTACAGCAAACAAGACTATCTCTATATTTGCCACAATAACCATATTAACCTTTAGCACCCCAGTCGAGCATACTGGACTTCCGCCGCCTATCTCGTAGCCTCCCAGAGTCGAGTATAGTCGACATCTATATATGGTTGAAAAATACGAAGCCTAAGCGGAGCTACGCGTGTGACGTCACTTGAAAACTATAAATAACTCTTCTACAGTGGTTTAACTTCCTGTAATGGCCGAGAGTGGGTTTGTTTGATCAATTTTTATCAGCCAGTTCGATATCCATCACCATCCTTCGAAATGGAAGTAAATTTTTCTGAAATCTTCATGGATTCTGACTCTGACGATGAGATTTTGTGTTTTACTGCAGCCGATATCAGTCGCGAAGTTGATATGTCTGGAGACGTAAGTGAAGGTAGTTCTGTTTACAGTGTGTCAGATTCTTAGGATAAGGAATACGACGAGATGCATGACTAACTGGTGAGTCTTTATGTTTGTACTGTTTTTTTTTACATTTTTCCCATTTCACTCTGTCCTCACACATCACCTATCAAACATACACCAACAAAACTCATATCAATGTATGCAGAAATCATTTGTTTATTTCAGTTTAAATAATTATGCAAAATTATTCATAAACCAAAAAGTTATAGTGTTTTTCATGTTTCCTCCATAAAAACCGCAAAATGTGAAAAAATAAGGTGGGAGGCAAGGGAAATAATTTGAATTTTTATTGTGGGGTGCTAAAGGTTAAACACGATTTCTATTTTCTGTTTTTTTTTTTTCAAACAACCTTCGATGGGAGGGGGGGGGGGGGCAATCAAGGACTATCTCGACGTCGGCGCAGACAGTGACTGCGACATTAACTTCATTAACCGTGTTAGACACGTGCGATTTCTATTTCATTAATATATCTGGAGTATCTGTCTACGAGAAAACAATTGCCTGCGGTTTTGAATTGTGTTTTAATCACGACACAGTAGTAGTAGACACACATGTCTAATAGTTGAGTTCTCGTTTCGTTGTTCCGATTAAGTGGCTGCTTGGTCGAATGGTTAGAACACTGGGTTCATGTGCGGTAGACCTGGGTTCGAATCCGCAGTCGTTAAATTTTTTTTTACCTCGGACTAAAATAATATCCTCATCTGCTCTGTCGTGGTGACAGCACTAGCCATGTTGCCTTCATATTAAAAAAAAAAAAAAAACAACAAGTAAATGTGTAAACTATTTAATAATTAAATTTGACCAATTCGCATACTTATGATTGCATTGTTAAACTTTCCGATTGCATGGTTACGCTGAAATTTTATAGATTTTCATTTATTTTCATTTAGATTTAGTTATTTTATCTGTGTTGGAATTGTAAGCTGTGCTGTTTACAATGGCGTTCATTTCCTAATTATGGTGTTTTTTTCCTGTGTTCGTTTGCTTTTCAAGTGTGTTTTTTTTTTCTCCCAACTACTTCAATGAGGGAAAGAGTTGTCGGTGAATTTGGGGGGAGGGGGGGGGGCAAACTATTAACTGAGAGAGCTTTAAGTCACAGTAACTGCTTTACCCACTTAAAGTAGCAGCAGCAGTAATAGTTGTGGTTGGGCTGTTACACCATAGTGCTCTCATGTGAAGACCGCCGGTAAGGTTATGGCGTTCTTCTGTCGGCAAGTGAAATTATACATCCTAACCTGACCAGTCTGTGGCGACAGCACTATCTATCTATATATATAAAAATCAATGTTTGGTCCCTATAGACTCGGAAACTACTGAACCGATTTAGCTGAAATTTTCAGGATATGTTTGTTTTAATACCGGATTTTGAACCATCGTGGTTTGAAATTTAACCTGTCACTGTTAGAGATAGGTGACCACAATTTATGCCAAAATATTTGCAACTAATATTTATAACTTTAGTGATTTCTAATTATAGCCACGTTAGTAATTGCGCATGCGCCGTATTTACCATTCGCCGGCGAGTTACGTGCAGCCAACGCCTTCTCTAATACTAATACATAGAGTAGGTCGTGGTACAGCAAACAAGACTATCTCTATATTTGCCACAATACCCATATTAAACACGATTTCTATTTTCTGTTTTTTTTTTTTCAAACAACCTTTGATGGGGGGGGGGGGGGGGGGGGGGGGGGGGGGGGGGGGGGGGGGGGGGGCAATCAAGGACTATCTTGACGTCGGCGCAGACAGTGACTGCGACATTAACTTCATTAACCGTGTTAGACACGTTCGATTTCTATTTCATTAATATATCTGGAGTATCTGTCTACGAGAAAACAATTGCCTGCGGTTTTGAATTGTGTTTTAATTGCGACACAGTAGTAGTAGACACACATGTCTAATAGTTGAGTTCTCTTTTCGTTGTTCCGATTAAGTGGCTGCTTGGTCGAATGGTTAGGACACTGGGTTCATGTGCGGTAGACCTGGGTTCGAATTCGCAGTCGTTAAATTTTTTTTTACCCCGGACTAAAATAATATCCTCATCTGCTCTGTCGTGGTGACAGCACTAGCCATGTTGCCTTCATATTAAAAAAAAAAAAAAAAAAAAGTAAATGGGTAAACCATTTGATAATTAAATTTGACCATTTCGCATACTTATGATTGCACTGTTAAACTTTCAATGGCGTTCATTTCCTAATTATGGTGTTTTTTTCCTGTGTTTGTTTGCTTTTCAAGTGTTTTTTTTTTCTGGCGTTCTTCTGTCGGCAAGTGAAATTATAAATCCTAACCTGACCAGTCTGTGGCGACAGCACTAGCCATGCGGAACCAAATCTTCTGGCTCACGACTCTCTGTCTACTCCGATGGTAACACAGATAGCAGTGACATTATTTAATAGTTGTACTGGTACTTGAAGGATGATGTGGTAAATATTACACTAGCCCTATTCACTACCTTTTACAATTCCTGCTCCCTATTTTAGTCCAGATGGACAGGGATGTCAATGTCAGTTACAGCAAATATCGCCAGTTAGTGATTTTCAAATCCTTCGAAGAGGGAGAGAGCAGTAGTCGGTGGAAGAGGGGAGGGGGTAATGACTTAAATTTAAGAGAAATTAAAGAGCTTTACACTTGATTTTCAAGTTCTCATTACCTAATTTGTTTATATTTTACTAACGCTACCTCCGCTTTTCTATTTTTTACAACTGTTATTCACAAGTACAGTTGTAGCTTTACTTCTGTCCCCTATAAAAATACAAACAGCTTTAGCATGTGATAACCAAATAACCATTTTTGTTACTGTGCTAATAACACCATTTAAACGACCACTAATATAAAGACACAATTATAAGGTGCGTGTTCTAAAGTTGGAAAACCAGACTATCTCTATATCTGTGCAGAGAATGATTGCGACATTAACTGTATTAGACACGTGCGATTTCCATTGTCTTTCTTTTCCAAAAACCTTTGATGAGGGAGATAGTAGTAGGTGGATTTAGTTGTGGTGGTGGGCGGGGATCAAAGACTATCTCTATATCTGAGCAGACAATGATTGTATTAGACACGTGCGTTTTCTATTTTCTTTCATTTCCATTTAGCCAAACTATGCCACAGCAACGCGTGGCCGGGTACAGCTAGTGTATAATAAAATATAACAATGTGCAAATTAACTACATGAATATAAATTTAATAGCTTAATGTGTTTAATTATAAACAATGCATGACTACCAGCAGAACCTTCCATGCCAGACTGGTCAAAGAATACAGAACAGACACACAAAGACATCCTGGTCTTCTAGGTTGGGGGTTGAAGCAGGGGACCAGCCTGTCCTTTTTAGAACTTTATTTAGTCAGGAAACAGATATCTAAGTCTCAAATTCAGACAGGAGATGAATGGCCATGAGTTCAGGTGATTTCCACAGAAAGCTAAAGAAGAATAAGAAGTATACATTTATGCTATTTTTTAACAGCACATTAGATTTTCTATAGTCCTCATTGCTTTTTTTTAACATCCCTCAGACATCTGCTGCAGAATCTTATGAGACTCAAGGAGTTGAAGAATCTAACATGCATAGATGACATAGCTCATGTCCAATGCCAGACCAATCATTGTAGCTGTAGAGTCAGAAATTGAAACAAAAGTTTTATGAAGAGCCTTTTCCCCCAGGTACTTATAGCAAAGTGTGTAAAAAAAAAAAAGGTGCCAGTGCTCCTGACAAAGTGTCTATTACAATTGTGTGGCAAAAATTTCCTTTAAAAAAAATTGTGGCTTTCCTCTGAATAACGGTCCCAAATTATCAAGGCTAACAAAATACCCTAACAGGGCCTCAGTCATATGTAAATTGAGGACCTCTTTCTCGCGACTATACCGCCACCGCCGAGAGTATCCCGTGCGGACTCACGAGCAAATAAAATGGAGAATGTTGCAGGAGATGCGGTAGTTGCTGCCTGTGAGTCCCAGCCATCTAGTTTAGCCCTTCTCTGTGCCGCACGTAGTGGTGCAGGGGGAAACTCCTGGTGGTGACTTTAACTCGATGGAAGCTTTTCGGAAAGAGGTCTGCAATTTGCAAATGACTGAGGCTGTGTTAGGGTATTTTCTTAGCCTCGTTAATTTGGGACCGTTATTCGAAGGATAGCCATAAGTGCCAGTACTGGGTAATGTTATGTATCACCAGAAAAACCCTGGATATATGTAAATATCGGGCAATCATGAGTTACCAGAGTCAATCACATATTCAAGTTAAAAATTTCAGTTACAGAACTTGAAGAAATCATTCTGTAATGCCCTTGAGTTTATAATACTAGCAAAAGTCAGAGAAGATTGACTTTGACAATTGGACGGCCCTTAACTGCAACAATATTTGGGCAAATAACGGCCACATATTGTGGCCGCCAAAAACAGGGCCTTAGTCCCATGTAAATTGCGGACTTCGGGTGACTATACTGCCACAGCACGGCGTGGATTGGGGCTAAACTAGATGGCTGGGACTCACAAGCAAAGCTGTAGGAGATGAGGAAGCTGCTGCTTGTGAGTCCCAGCCATCTAGTTTAGCCCCAATCCACGCCACGCGTAGCGGCGTGGGAGATACTCTCAGCGGTGGCGGTGGTCGCTGGAATTGCGCAATTTGAATCGCCGGAAGGCCGCAATTTACATGTGACTGAAGCCCTGTTAGGGTGTTTTGTGGCCGCCATAATATGTGGCCGTTATTCGGAGGATAGCCAATTTTTGTATTAACCAGCACTCATAGAAATAACCATACTACGAACATCTAGTTTGAAAATGGAGATGCTGCATCCACTACAGCTTTCCGCTGGCTTGAGATCCAGCTGCACACACATGTCGTGACTTAATAATAACTGTAACAGAGTGGAAACGATCAGGATACTATAGGATAGGATAAGAGAGAAGGAGGGATCAAATTCAAATAGACATAGAAACAAAAAAATAACTCATCGCTGTAATATCTAGAATACAGATTACTACCTTTGACAAATAATTTCTCAGATTTGCTTCGTGCTGTGACATATTGTCCTGTGTTCGTTTACTTCAAGATCAACATGAATCCATACTGCAACAACGACTAGTCAAACAATAAGAACAGATTTCTGCAACTGACGGCCATGTTATCAAAGGCTTTCTGAGAAAGAAGAGTTCCACTTAGCATTTGTTCCTGGTAATGGAAGAGTGCCAGTCAGGGCTGTTGAAGTTGGCATTTTCGTATACATTTGACCCTTACCGAACAAAACTGTACTTTTGGTACCACGCGCGATGTTTTGATACTTTGTGTGTGTGTGTGTGTGTGTGTGTGTGTGTGTGTGTCAGTGTGTGTAAGTGTGTGTGTGTGTGTATGTCCTCGTACGAGCGTGTGTATGTGTTTTGTGTTGAGTTGATTTAAGAACAGACATCACAGCGCTCGGGGCATTCACCTAAGCGCTCTGTCCCATCTTCAGTAGCCAGTGCAGGTTTCCAATACTAATGGTGCCGGTATAATTCTTATTAAAAGTACGTCTTGTCTCTTCTTTGAGCCTCGAGCATCGGCCAGAGAAAATCGTCACTCCCCGCTGCATTAATCTCACCAGACTTTTGTGACCGACCTGCTCCTCCAAACTGTACACGCTCTCTCAGAAGGCACTAACCACGTCTGCTTTATCGTGCATCAGTATTCCACAAAGTTATGCAGAGCCAGCCAGTCTGTCCACTTGTTTATTTCTCAACACACCGGCGTATTCGGGAGAATCAATCCAGACAATACTCCTCACCCGTGTCCTCTGCAGTAAAGCATGCCTGTCCTGACCTTCCTCTCCATTCTTTCTGAGTCAATTAAAATCACGATGTTTGTGTGTGTGTGTGTGTGTGTGAGTTTGTGTACGTGTGTGTATGTGTGTGTGTGTGTGTGTGTGTGTGTGCTTCGTGTTCTCTAACCAGCGGAAAGCAGCAGTGACCGCCTCCACCTATATTCTTAAGAGGGATGCTGTGGTATCTGATGTTAGACTCTGCTGCACCAAACGTCGACCATTAATTTTTTGCTTAGAAACCCCAAGCACTTCTTTTGCCTCTTGACACTGAACGATCTGTATAAATAATCAAATCCTCTGAGCGAGCATTATCTTGAAATAATTGTTGAACTTCCACCTCCGTGGCACCTGCTGGCCAGTCTCTGCATTCCCAACTCAGTGTGATTATCACCCTACATAATAAGTATGACTGTTCAGCTGGCACTTTGACCCACTCCTCTCCTCGCCTAATGTTCTCCAGGATGCAAACCTGCCTGATTATGCCTTCTGCCTGAGCCATCCCTGACTTCCTTCTTATCAACCGCTGACCTTTAACTGCGCCTAGAGCCTCGTGCAAAGGGTGATCTATGTCTGCCAACTTGAGATATGACTTTGCCTGCAGCACATTGTGCCTACCTGCAACACCCGGGACACCAAGGATGTATCGCATACACACCCAGAATGACCAGCATAGAAGCGTTCTGTATGCGCTCTAGTTTATCCATCTGACTCTTTGAGACGTTAAGCAGTCACAGGCCATAATGAACCACTAATAGGAGCAGGTGCTGATATAGTGTGAAAAGCATTCTCTGCTCTATGTAAATTGAAACCATAGTCCTTTTTGGCATCTTGTCAAAACACTTTCCACATGGTTCTTAAAGGACAGGCTCCTGTAAAATGTAATTCCCAGATAATTCAGTTTGTTTTCTCTGTTGACGTCTCTACCATCTATCGTGAGACTTGGGACATTAGCTCTAACGATTATGTTGTCTAGATAACACCACAAAACAGATGCCTTTTCCGGGTGGACGACAGCTCTAATTTCTGTACACTACTCAGTCACTTGGTCGACTGTCGCTTGTAGCTCCCGGGCTGTTTGTTCCCTTTCTTCCCCCTGCCTATGGGCAAGTATATCATCTGCAAAAGTCAGTATCCCTCTAAATCCTGGTGCTTCTAGACTGACAGTCTTACTCTTATACACACTAAAGAGCACAGGCGAGATGGCAGATCCCTGTGGTAGTCCTGGGGCCAAACCGCATGGTTCTGAAGTCTATGAGCCCAGTCAGAAAGCAACCTGATGTGAATATAGGACAGCTGCAACACTTCTTCTTTTTCTTCTTCTTCCCCACGCTCACCAGCTGTAAACTGCGGCGGAAAGTTCTGGTTGTTCATCCACTTTTCGACTGCAGTCATGTTCCACAACCTGAGTGTTGCGTGTGCATCCGATTTACAAATCTGACCCATTTGTATTTGACTGTTGGTTCCTTGCCTCTCAGGCAGATGCACTCCGTCTTCAAAGGAAGCTCCAAATTAGTCGACTCTTACGACATGCTTTGGATAGGCAGTGGATCTATCCCCCCTCTCCCCCCAATAATAGGTTGTGGCGGCTAAGGATCTGAGCAATTATGGTCTGAATGGTTCGATGAGCATGAACGATAATTTATCGACTAACTAATATGGGGCGCGCATGTATTTGAATGTGAACATGACATGACACTTGACCCGGTTCCTAAGTCAGGAAAGACCATACGAGAATAAATGGCTACAGAATCATCACACTCCAGAACACTATTTGAAAACTCATGGAAACAATCGTGGCCAGAACGCTGACCCAAACATTGGGGTCAAGTGGGCTTTTCCCCGCTACACTAGGTGGTTACCGACCGGGAATAGATGCATGGTGCAGTGCTGCAGTATTTGCCTACGGCACATATGAGGGTTTCCAGGAGGGAATGGAAACGGCAGCTGCCGCAATCGACTTAGAAGATGCGTATAACAGCGTCCCATACAACATGATCATCATACTGCTGTTGGATATGCAAATAGAAACAAAATTGGTCAACTGGATCGCTGCAGCGCTATTCGAAAGAACAGTGTCGCTTCGATGTAGTGAATGGGCATCCGAACCTCAACGCGTCCTAATGGGTCTACCCCAGGGATCACCATTGTCGCCTGTGCTCTTCAATGTGTACACAGCAGGAGTTATGAGTGCATAAAGCGTAGGCCTAGGCAGAACAATGTCGAATGCAGATACTATCCTTGTTTACCGACGAGGTGAAAACAGGCAAGAAATTACAACCACGCTACAACACGAGCTAGACAGACTTAGTGAGTGGTGCCAGGAATCAAAAGCTCAGGTGAACCAGTCCAAAGCCTCCTTAACATGGTTCTCTCTGTATACCCACATCGCCAGTACACCAACGCCTGTCGTAAGCATAAGTGGTGTGGACATCGAGAGAACCGACACCACGAAATACCTGAGCATGACATTTAACATATGTTTGTCATACAAATGCCATGTAGACAACGTCATACTTAGAGCCAGGAAAGGTCTGACAGCACTCAAGGTGCTAGCAGCAGCTGATATTGAATAACGCCTACTTTTTCTTATCTATCAAGGGCTTGTGTTAAGCGTCATTGACTATGGTCTTTGCCTCATCACTGTCAGCAAAACCATGGCTAGAAAGACTGGATCGAGTACAAAATGAGGCCATGAGACTCCTACTCGGCTGCACAAAAGACACCTCCTGCAACGCAGTGCGTTATGTCCTGGGTTTGCCGACGATGACTAACAGATACAAAGTGGCACAGGTCAAGGCGTACATGAGGGTATCGGCAGAGGTTAACCACCCACTGCACAAAGCTATACATGACACAATAGGAACGCGTCTCAAAAGAGGCCGCTCTTAGATGACCTAGACGTGATCAGTCACGGAAAAGAATGGACGAATAAACCAGTAGACATGCATCGCATCTCTAAGATTGTCATCAAACTCGGAAGGTACTGCAGGGATCAAATTCCTGCGGGCGTAGACACAGAAGAAAGGGAACTGATAGATCAGCATTCAGACCCAGAAGATATCATCATCTACACAGATGGATCCGTAAGCGCGGATCAAGGTTAGCAGAGGCATACACAGCGCAAAAAAGGGGCAAAACAATACAGGAGGACAGCGGCGCTTACCAGACAACCACGTCAAGCATGACCATGGAAATAGCCGCTGCTTTTGGAGCTTTAGCATGGGTGTCCGGACAAACCGCTACACAGGCAGTTATTGTATCAGACTCCATGAATATGTTTCAGAAGATAGCAACATGCAGTATGCGCTCTGAATGGGTAGAAAGCATTCGAAAATCGTGCTCTCCTTCCAATTTCTACTCCATATTATGGTGGCCAAACAAATAGCTTAACAGGGCCTCAGACGTGTGTAAAATGTGGACTTCCTGCGATGAACACATCGCGGCAAAACTGGAATTACTTGACAATTTCAAGACACGCAACACTGCAGACGTTAGTGCCAGACGATAATAGCGACCGTTGACAATTTCGAGCGTTTCTGTCGCATAGTCGCAGATACAGGTCTGCAATTAACATATCGCTAGGACCCTGTTAGAGCATTTATTTCGTTGTTCGGAGCCAATCATAGTGTCGCGCGCCCACGTGGGTAACTACACTGATATAGTGAGGGTGTGGGTTTGAACCTTAACAATGCCCACCCACGTGAGAAACTGGACTAATTTCTAAGCTATGTTGATCCTAGACAGTCCTGGATAGCCAAGAACACAACGAGTGGCTCGTTCCATGAAATGAAAGTTGCTGAACTTGTATCCACAGGAGTAGGAGAAGGGATAGATGGATATCAGGATAAACCCACTGTTATATAATCCAGATACACAGTTAACCCCTCCGACTTTTCTCCTCTCCTGGCATTACTTAAAAGCCCCCATCAAGTGATTTAAATATTTGTTAGCTGAAGTAAACTAATATGCACAAAGACACTTGAATCTAAGTACACAATTTACTCAACTATTTTGTAACAACATAAACATGATTTATTTAATAAATCTAACCGAAATAAAATGAACTTGTTTAGGCTAGTAGAGTTGGGGAGATGTGAATAATGAAATCATAAAGGTATTGGAAAGTAACAACCTTTGGACAGTTCTCGGCTTGAGACCCTGTCTATCTTTTCCCAGTTTGTCGTCCTCACTGCTCCAAGCAGGTCGTTACACTCAGACTGTCAGCAATGA